GTAAAAATTTATATTTACACGAACAAGATATTTACAAGATAAAAAAATAAGTAACAAAGTAAGAAATTTAAAATATTCTCTTACAAATACAAGATACAATATTACATATATATATGTATAAAAATTATATATAATTTTTATAAATTCATGTTTAAATAGAGGGTAAAAGGAAGATCACTAAAACAATATCAAAAATATATTGTTAAATCTTCGATTGTAAAAATGAGTTCTTTAAGCTTTCGTTTAAAAGAAAAATAGTTACTTTGATGAATAAAATCTTCAGTAAAATTTTTTAAAACTATTTTATTCCATAAGAATGGTCCGCAATAATCAATACAAAATTCAAAAAAATTTGTTTGAAAAATGGGCTGCTTAATAAAATTATCATTGCGTAAAATGTATTTATTTTTTCTTCTGATGAATACAAATTATGGAAAGAGATCGGGGATGAATTAGTTTTACAATTAAACATAAAACAAAGAATATTAAAAATATTAATTTTATATATATTAAAAACTTTCATTTCAAATAATAAAGGCTTGGCATGACTTCTGTTCCCTTCAAAACAAAAAAAGAACCTTGGACCACATCGGAAGTTAAAGAAGCGGTTTTTCATAAACGTAATCTCTGGAGGCAATATGTCGCTTCTGGAACTAAAACACATGAAGCACTCAGGAGTAAGCATAAAATAGCTTGTAAACATGTATCAGAGGTAATAAAAAAAGCTATTAAAAGATATGAAAATCAGTTAGCTAATGTTTTCAAAAATGACCCAAAGAAACTCTATGATCACATTAAAAATTAAGAAGAAACAAATAACTCACTTATAAGCTCTCGAAGATGACAATAAAAACATTATAACCGACGGTGCAGTTATTTCAGATATTCTAAACAATTACTTTCATTCTGTATTCACTACTGAAAAACCAGATTCGCTGCCAGATTTCGGATCACGTACAAATGTATCTTGCGCTACAGACTTAAATTTCATATCAGCAACTTCAGTTTAAGAAAGATTAAAAAAGCGCGATTCACAGGTTCCAGAGCTTTGGAAAAGATCATATGTTACTTTAAACAAGGCAGCAAGCAGAACCGAGCCAATTATCGACCAGCCTCACTAACATCGGTACCCTGCAAAATTATAGAAGGTATTATACACAAAAAAATTATAAATCACTATCTTAGCACTAACCTAATATCCAAAGAACAGTACGGATTTCTTAAAAGTAAAGGATGCACATTGAACTTACTTGAAACTCGGGATATACTAACCGAAGCAATGCATCAAGGCTGCGCCACTGAAATCATTTTCACTGACTTTGCGAAAGCTTTTGATAAAGTTCCACATGTCAGACTCTTACACAAACTTAAAGCCTATGGTGTAAGCGGCATAGTTTTAGACTGGATAGCAAACTGGTTAACGAATCGTTATCAATTGGTTGTAATAGGCAAGCATAAATCTAAATATGTAACAAGCGGGGTACCCCAGGGCTCTGTGCTTGGTCCACTTCTTTTTATATTATACATAAACGATCTGCCGGACTATATCATCACATAAAAATTTATGCCGACGATTGCAAAATAATCGCCGTTCTAAAATCTGAGGAGGGCAAAAGAACATTGCAAATTGACATATATAATCTTGTAGATTGGTCGCATAAATGGAATATGCCTCTCACCTTCGATAAGTGTAAAGTTATGCTCGTCGGGCGTGGTTACTCTAAATCTACTCAAACTTATTAAATGCTTGATTTGAGTGGAAACAGAATTCAACTGGACGTCGCTAAACACAAACATGATCTGGGAGTACTTCTATCAGACGATCTTAAAGTAAGCTATTAAGTCGAATCAGCTGCAGCAAGAGCCAACAGTAAACTTAGTAGACTAAAGAAAATTTTTAGAAGTTGTGGACTCTTTTTGTGGAAAGTACTCTACAATATATATATATATGACCCCAGTTAGAATTTGCTATCCAGGCTTGGTCACTACACAATGAAAAAGATATTGCTATTCTAGAACAAGTACAGCATAAAGCCACTAAAACAATAACGGAAATAAAGCATTTGTCATATGAAGAAAGACTCTTTCATCTCGGCTTAACAACTCTTAAAGAAAGGAGAGTTCAAGATGATCTGATTTAACAGTTTAAAATTTCAAAAGGTATTGATCAAATTATTTTTGATAACCCTCAAGTCTATGCACCATCAATTTACAAATATAATTTACGTGGACATTATCTTCGACTCGAACGTCAAAGGATAAAAAACTGTCAAGAAAGATTTAATTTCTTTACTAATCGCATCGTGAATGTTTGGAATACGCTACCTTTAGACGCCATAAGAGCTGAATCAGTCAACTTGTTCAAGATTAGTGTACACAAATTGAAATTCAAAATAGACGAATGATCGGACACACGAGTGTCTTCTTTCAGCATGGAAGTGCCTGGTGTAGCACTTCCTCATCAAAATATATAAATGGATTATATAATTGATTTCTGAAATAAATAAACTCAAACTCAAAATCATGACTATAACGTCGTTAAAATATATAAGACGTGCCACATGCTTCTGTTGACAATAATAAGGTTTAAGTTTATTTTTATTTGTACTACCCCAAGCAATGTTTGCATAGTTTATGTGACAATGAATAAATGAGTGATATAATTGTACTAAAGTATGTTTATTTTAAACATTTCTTGCTTTGTACAATATTCCTATACTTTTTGAAGTTTTTTATTTGACAAGTTTTTAATGTGATTTTTCCATGTAATATTTTTATCTACACAAACACCTAGAAAGTTGGTTACTGTTACTTGTTTAATTTGTATATTGTCAATAACAAGATGAGGCATGTTAATTGGCAGTTTGATGAGAAGATGGAAAAGAATCCATTTAGTTTTACCAATGTTAAGAGATAATTTGTTGGTCTTAAACCAATCAGATATTTTGATTAACTCGATGTTCACGTAATGAAATAGAGTAGGAATACTTTTGTGTGACATAAATAAATTAGTGTCATCAGCAAACATAATTGTTATTAAATCCGAGGCTTTGTATAGAACATTTATATAAATAAGGAAAAGAAGAGGTCCTAATATGGATTCTTGAGGAACTACACATGTAATATTTAACAAATTTGATGAAAATGTTTCAGTTGCGCAAACAAATTGTTTACGATTAGGTAAACAACTTTTCAACCATTTTAAAATATTGCCTGTTATACCATATTCCTATTTATGAATTAAGTTTTAAACATCAGTTAAATGATTTTAAGGAATTATACAGCATAAAAACTGTATTTTGTATAAAGCATTCATAAACATGGTCAGTTACATCCACTCACCCGTAAAGTTCAGTTCTGGTACAGATTTTATAAAACAACTTTTAAAAACAAATAAAAATCGTAAATAAGCAGAATACATCATAACCAATTTTGTTTTAAATTTTCAACAACATTAATTCCACTTTAATTTAAGCATACTCACTTTTTAAATGGTACAATTATTTTCCGCAAAAGTGAATGTAAGATACCCGGAAACGTGAAAGCAAGAAACCGAGTTAGGTATCTCGATACATTGATACCTGATATATTATTTGCTATACCCTGGATAGAAGACAATATACTCTGATATATTGTCTACTATACATCCGGCCAGATTTAAAATTAAAGTAGACAATCCATCAACCGTGGTGCAGTGGTTAGAACGCTTGCTTTAGAAACAAGAGATTTAAGATTCAAAGCGAGCTCTGGGCATATTTCTCCCCATCGGTAAGGAAGGAGGCGTAAACTACCTAGTTAAATGCTATTCCGCGGTGACAAGAACTAAAAAACTAATAATAATAAAGTCGCATTCATCATTTAAATCACATCAGATTTAAATGATGAATGTTCCTAAAGTTTTTTTGTTTTTTTTTACAATTTTTAAACTAAAAAGTTCAATCCTACTAATAATGTATTACAGAGTAAGTCACAGTGTATATATTGTTTTTACTTTTGACTATTTATAACGTAAACGTAACTTAACACTAACAAGGCCAGCGCGAGTAGGTGTCACGCGGGAAGGGGGTGCCATAACGAATTTGCCAACTAAAAAAAAGGTTCTCGTTTTTTAAAATTTGTCGAGTGACTTTCTAAACTTACCGACTAACTTGTCCAAAGGGTTTACATTTTCCGACTGACTTGTTTAAAAGGGTTCAATTTGCCAACTAATTGAATGAAAAAATTATTGATGGGGAGGGGGTGTCACACACCTCCTTCGCACCGGCCTTTAACCCTAGATGTAAGATGTATTTTGTTAGTGTAAGTTACATTTAGATTTTTTTCGATGAATATAGCGATAACAAATAGCGAAACAGCGATAACAACAAAAATAGCAAAGAGCGTGTAACAAAAAGTGGGTACGGGTAAAATTGTGTTTTTTAAAAAAAGGATTATTAAAAAAAAAATTTTTTAATCCGTAGTCTTAAACAGTGCGCTAGTTAGAAAATTGATGCGAAATTTTTTTTTTTTTTTTGAAATTTAAAAACAATACGACAAATTAGTAAAATGAAATTATTTAAAACAACAGTTATTACAAGTGAAAATAACCTTTACGCTAAAAATTGTTAAATCTTTGACTTCCCCTACAAACTCTTGATGGTTAATATACACTATTTATACTCTTTGAATTCTAATGTTTACATGCGTGTTATTTGAAAGCTCAGATTTTTTCAATACTGATGTGTTTACAATTTGTATCGCCGCCGATTTATACTTTTTTAACTCTAAATTTAGATTAAAACTTCATTATGCAGACATAATTTTTAAATGTATAATACAACTTTAAAATAATTTAAAACTTCATCGAAAATTTTAATAAATTTTTTATATATTTACTCTTTAAAAAATATTTAATTTTTTTAAGTAAAAAAATATAAATATAAATATAAATATATCAAATTATGAGTCAGTAAATTGCCTTTATCTAAAAATATAACTTATTCGAATCTTTGCGGGGGAGCACTATATAAATGGGTGGAGTTTTTTAATAGAAGTTATCGATAGCGCTTAAATTGCATTTTATGAAGTCGATTACCTATATAACTTGACTCATGAACTGTTTTTCTTCAAAATAAACTTGCGTTAAATAGTTACATATGTTTTAAAAAATAAAAATGCAAGCAATAAAATGTGTCGTTGTTGGGGATGGGTAAGTTTTCTTAGTTCTACTCAATTTTGAAAGGTTTAAGTTTAAAATTTTTATTAAAGTAATCCTAAATAAAATATAACACTATGATAGTTTTATGCAAAAATGAAAAATTTTTAAATAGAGTAAGCTAATCTTTTCATTTATTTATTTATATTTACTTTGAAAGTTTACTTTATTATAGAGCTGTTGGTAAAACATGTTTGTTAATTAGCTACACAACAAATGCATTTCCTGGTGAATATATTCCAACTGTGTAAGTGTTATTAATATCTTTTCCTTTTTTGTAAAATTGTTGCTTTTTCTATTTTTTTTTTTTTTTTTGGGACAACAAAAACGATGTCAAGTTTTTACATTCAAAGTTAAAATAATAACCTAATTTCTCTATCCTATGTTTTACGTGTAAATCTAGTTTTAACTATCTTATGTGCCTAATTTCTTTTTTGACAAGGCAGAAAGTACATGCATAAACAATAACATAGTGTATCTACACTGTTTATGTCATGTACTATGTATATGCCACATTAAATTATGGTGCTACTTTATTTTAATGATCAGATCTGTAATCATAATATTGAAAAGAATTTTAAAAATTACATTTTTTTTTTAATTATTATTAAATTTTTTTTTTAACTTTTTTTAGATTTGATAACTATTCTGCAAATGTGATGGTAGATGGGAAGCCTATAAATTTAGGGTTGTGGGATACAGCAGGTAAAGTTTATATTTATAAAAGACATTTTGCATTAATTACAAACACTTGAAATAGCAACATCTATGTTTATGTATGTTTATTAAATACTAGAGATTTTCACCTTTTTTTTTAAAAAAAAAAATTGCTTCAAGTGGGAGTACCTTTATTAGACCATGAAACTATAGTGTGCAAAATTTGAAAGTGGCAAGTTATCCTGATTCTATCTTATTTAAGTTTGATTTTTTTTACATAAAATATTATTTGGGTTTAGATAAATAGTTTACAAAAAAACATTCATCTTTATTCAAGATTTTTTTTATTTTTGAGTTAACTCTTAGTTTCTTATAAACTATCTACTCCATCTTGAAGCAAATTAATACCAAAAAAATTGTGTGTGTATATTTATGTTTGTGTATGTATTTATATGTATATATGTCTATGTGTCTATGTATGTATGTATATTAATATATATATATATATATATGTATGTATATATATTGATATGTATATATGTATATATATATGTATATGTATATATATATATATCTATATATATATATATATATCTATATATATATATATATCTATATATATATATATCTATATATATATATATATATATATATAAATATATATATATATATATATATATATATATATATATATATATATATATATATATATATATATATATATATATATATATATATATATATATATATATATATATATATATATATAGAGAGAGAGAGAGAGAGAGAGAGAGAGAGATTTTGGTGCACTTATGCATTAGCATATTTTCTTCACCTTGAAAGTCTTTAGCCAATGATTTAAAAAATTTTTTTTGTGTGTTTTTATTTTGTATACAAATATAAAAATTTCAATAATAATTTAAATGCTAATTCTTAGAATATATTTATTTAGTATTTTGAATTGTTTCTAATTTGATTAAATATGCAGTTTATAAGTTACATTTAAAATATATATAGCTAAAGTGTGGCCAAACTTAAACATTGGTGCACCCTTAGATTATAAAGTATATATAAGAAATTTAGTTAAATAAAAGTTTACTTTTATTTAACTAAATTTCTTATATATACTTATATAATCTAAGGGTGCACCAAGTTCTTATATAATCAGAAACTTAAACTGTAAATAATGTTGTTTAAATACAAAACTGTAATTATTTCAAATTATTACATAAAATAAACTTTTTATATGATTCATATTATAAATTAGTTCGAACATTACCTTAAAAATAATGAAAAAGATAAAAAGAACTTTTTTTAAATATTTGAATGATGAATCTCGTATTTTTTTAAAAGGTCTTTAAAACCTTATTTATAAAAAAAAATCTTTTATAAAAGAGTTTTTGCAGTTATTTTTAATATTGACCTGTTTCATGGTTAATTTTTTTATTTGCCTAGAAAACTGTAACTATGATTTAATACAATTTACACTCACTTTTCACATATTCACGCCTACTTTTTTTCACACATTCACACCTACTTTCACACATTCACACCTACTTTCACACATTCACACCTACTTTCACACATTCACACCTACTTTTTACCCTTTGTGTTTGATATTTTGTATGAGATGATTTTCTAAAATAAGGTAACAACTTATATTAACTTTGTATTGGTATGATTATAGCTAACAATTTTTAAAAAAAACATTTTTTAAAAATAATTAAAAATAAGTTGGTATAATAAAGTTTTTATTATTTAATAGTTTTAATATTAATATTATGCTTAAAAGCATCTTAATATTTATCATAGCATTGTGTTTTGAATTTATTATTTTGGAAATCTCAAAATTTTTATGTGTTAACAAAAAACATCTATATTTATACCTGTTTTCAGCAAGTATTTTGTAATTATTTTAAAATTTGACAGATACAAGATTATTACTTTTTTTTTAAATTTTATTATTTAAACTATTAGTTAAACAATGTTGTAATGAAAGCATATGTTATTAGTGTTACAAATTCTTTTTTATATTATTTTTAGTTATTAAAGTTTTTTTTTTTATTATTAGGCCAGGAAGATTATGACAGACTCCGACCTCTTTCGTATCCACAAACAGTATGTTTTTATTTTATTGTCATTTTTTTTTCTTTATTTGGTATATATGCTATATAAGTTATATGTAATTTCTTGATATGGTTAGTACCACCATCTGCTTTCTCATTTGTATATTTTAATAAAATTAAAATAATAAAAGTCAAATTCCAAGTGAATCAAAAGTATTAATAAATGCTTTATTATTTTGTTGATATTGTTCCTTTTTGTGGTATTTTTTCAAAAAAAAAATTATTTTGTATATACTTAAACCTATTGATGACTTTTTAGGAAAATGTTTTATAATTTTTTTTTTTTTTTTTTTTTTTGTAGGATGTCTTTCTCATTTGTTTTTCGCTCACAAGCCCTGCATCATATGAAAATGTTCGTGCAAAATGGTATCCAGAGGTAAATCACCACTGCCCAAATACTCCTATTATTCTTGTAGGAACAAAACTCGATTTACGCGATGATAAAGAAACAATTGAAAAACTTAAAGAAAAAAAGCTTGCGCCCATTACAACAGCACAAGGTTTGCAAATGGGAAAAGAGATAACAGCTGTGAAATACTTAGAATGCTCCGCGCTCACTCAAAAAGGACTGAAACAAGTTTTCGATGAAGCAATTAGAGCTGTTCTATGTCCCAAAAAACCTCCAAAGAAGAAGAAGAACTGCACGTTATTATAAAATTTTAATTTAAGAATTGTTTAAATTAAAATGGCGATAAATTAAACAGAAGTTTATACTTTTTAACTTAAAGGTTTTAATGAGCTATCTGCTTGTAAAAAGTATGTAAAATTAAGTATAAGAGCGCACTTAGCTTTTCACTGAAAGTTGTGTAAAGAAATTTCTAGAGAAATATTTTAAAGCATTCATATAAAAGAACATTTTTGCACTACTTTTTTTTTTTTTTTTTTTTTTTTACTATTTAGTGTGCTTGTGTGTTCTGTGCATAGTAGCTAACGTAAAATTTTATTACAAGTAAGAAAAATTTTTATGTCAATTTTTAAAAAACAGCAATCTTCTGGAGGGAATTTTCTCTTAAATCGTATTTTGTAATTCTTGCTTTACTCCGTTTTTTATGTGATCATTTATATCAATTTTTACTCTTCCAAAATCAGTTCAAATGAGTTAAAATCATAAAGTTTTTAATTCTGTTAATTTTTAAATACATAAATTATAACTAGTGTTTAGGTTTCACTCATTTTTTAACCATGTTCGATCATGTTATAAATTATTTTTAAAAACTTTTTGTTTTGTTTATTTGCCTCTGTTTTGTATTTTATTAACTTTATTAATCATAAAATTAACTCGTCGTTATTATAAAATTCTAGTTAGTTAATCAACTGACTGAAGCTTTTAGGTATAGTTTTGAAATGTTTTTAATTTATTACGACAATTTTTAATTATTTATTCATTTTGCGTGATATATCATTGGTAATAAATGGCGTGATCATATCTTGATATATCACCATATGTATTGGTTGATGTATTGCATTTTAGCTAATATAATAAGTCATTAAACAAAAGTAATTATTAATGCTTAGAAAAAGGACTTTAATGAACCTTAAATCATACCGTAAAATGAGGTAATTAGCACAAATGTAGTTTTTTTTTTTATAATTTAATTATAAATAATACAAATTGAATTTGTATCAACAAATGTAAACCATGAAAAATAAAAATATTACAGTTCTAACCCCTTTTTAATTTTAAAAATACATCTAAGTCATTTATATAGTGGTAGTGACTGGCCACACATTTCAAGCTATTGTTGGTAAAAGAGGTGTCATAGTTGTCATTTTCACCGCTAGATCGCAGCATCTACTTGATTGTGCTTACTGAACAGCTGGTTTTTTGCTTTGGCAAGAGTGGCCTAAGTCAAATCAGAACTGAAATTGACTACATTGTGTGTTTCTAGTAATCTTTTTCACCATGGATATAAAATCTATAGGTGACTACTTGAATACAAATGAAGATTCTGATTCAGGGTCAGTATATTTATCAGATCATGAACAAGAAAATGATATCGCTTTCTCTGGTGAGTTTTGTTGAGATAATTTGTTTATATTTTTTGGTTATGTTTGATTGTTTACATGAGCCTAGTAAACTAGGCCATAGGACCAGGTTATTGTAATATTTCTAAACACGATGCTTCATTTCATAGTCATCTACAGTGGTCATTAATAATGTTTTATTAAAAGCCATACTGGTTGTTACACATTGTTAGCCACAACAAGGTAATGAGATTTCATTCTGACACAAACATAGGCTAGGCCTAGTAGTACCTTTTTAATCAATGGCATAGCTAAAGGCCTTAGGACAAGGCTAGGCCTTAACTAGCAAATTTCTGGGGCTGGGGTTAATGAACCTAATTCAGGACCTCGACCCTAGCCTAGACCAGACTTAGCTTTTAATCTGCACTTTTTGTAATTGTAAATAGGCTACTGTAGCCTACAAAATATATTTTTAATTTATTAGGCCTACTTTGTTTTAGATGGAGAGTTATCTGTGGATGGAGTAAATGATGACTCATTAGAGGCTGGCTTGCAGAACAATGATACTACGGACGAGAACTGAGATCCAGAAAAAGACTGTACAGCAGCTCCAGTTCGACGAGGAAGAAAGAGGTTACGAGAAGAGCACCTTAGAGCCAGAACCATGAGAAAACACCAAAGGAATTCTGGTCAAACATACACTAACGTTACCAAAAAACAGACACAAGCCAAAGTTTTTTAAAACATCCAATGAACTTGTCGTAAGAAATGTTACAAGCTAATAACTAAGGAACAGAGACGGAATATATTTAAACATTTTGAAAGTTTTTTTTGTACTAAAATTTGTTTAACTGTACAATAAAAGTCATGTGTTTCATATTTTACTTGACTTATATCAACAGATATTCACAATCTCAAATAATGCAATTAGCAAAATTGGCAAAAGTCAATTTACATTGTTGTAACTCCATAACAATAAAAATTATTAAATAGTACTTTATGTTTATAAGTTACCTAAGGACTTGTTTCTTAAAATGTATCCTTTCCTACTAAATAAATGTAACCAAAGTTTCAAACTAACACCAAACATAAAATATAATTTATCTCTTTAATAAGTTCTGTTGACATACACCACCCTTGCTCTCAATGACTCAATTATAGGTTCTTAGTTTCATATAAACAGAATATTAATTGCAAATGTTTTTAAGGCATAAATATTTTATAACTACAGCTTGAAAGTAACTTACAAATTGGTTAAAGTTATAAGTGACTAAGACAAATAACCATATCATTTATAACGCAAAAAAGCGACGCATCACACTTTGAGTTTAAGCGTAAATAGGGTTTTATTTTCTGAAAAACTTTTTCAATTTTAATATTTTTAATATTAAACTCCGACTCCGCTGAAAATGTCGCAACTATGCAACTCCGACTCCACAGCCCTGATAAAAACATTAAACAATGATATATAAAAGTTTTTTTATAACTTATGTTTTCTCCGCAACCTTTTTACTTTCAACTTAGGTTTTAATACAGTAGAAAAACAATATTCTGAAGTACATAAAAAACTCAGTAAATTAATTTTGTCAAAAAGTGGAGATAGAACAAGATAATTCTAACGTCGCAAAATCAGTTTTGTTTTTATTTAATAAAAATTTGTGGAAAAAGAAAAAAGTTGTTTCTAACTAAATATAAAACATTTATTGGTTAAAAAAATTCATATAAAATCTTCAGCTATGTATGAGATTTACAAAACTATCAAAATTCTTTATATTGAACTTCCTATAAAAAGTTAAAAAAGGAAGTAATTAAAGCTTATATAAAAAAAACTATAGTTAACCTTAATATAGTGTGACTTGGTTTTTGTTGGAAAGAAAATCTTTTTAAAGTAATGTAAAAATAATTAGTTTCTATTTACATATTCATTGTGTCATGTCCCTGTTTATGTAGGTGAGTTTCATAAATAAGAAGTAAATTCTCATTTGAAAGTTTTAACATAGGAAATAATTTAAAAAAAGGTTCATTTTAATGGCAATTGAAAACATGCAGATCAAATTTATCTGAACCAATACCTGTTCTGCAGGTGTAGGTGTGTAGATTAGTTCTTAACCTTAGGTTATTAGTTTTACCAATGTATGTTGTTTTTCCATCAGATCCATTACATAATAGAAAATAAATTTTTTGAATTACATGATATTGAAATTTTAATGTACCATACTTTACCAGATGATGTTGTAAAATGGTTAACAAACTAAAGATACATAGTACATAGCTTACAGCATTTTGATTTACATTTTAAAACCTTGCTTTCATTGTTAATAAAAACTGGTTTCTTATTAAAGCTTGATGTACTTATGTGTCTTAAATTATTTTTTGGTTGGCGTTTTGATAATACGATAGAAGTGTTTTCAAAAACTGATTTTAGTTTATTGTCTAAAACATACAGTTTCAGAATACTATGTAGAGTTGTTAACAAATTTTTAAAATTAATATTTGTAAAATTTGTAGTTACAAAAGGTATAATTTTGTTAACTTTCCTTTTTTGAGGTGCTGGTCCCTGTAGTCGAGCTTTAAAAATTCCATTAATAATGATTTTTACTGGGTAACTGCACAGAATTAAAAACTACTTTTGTTGTTGAAGTCTGATTTCCATTTTTGATGGATTGGACACAAAACAAGTTATTCGTTTAGTTAATGTGAAAGGTATATTTTCTTTTATATGTTTGGGGTGATCGCTATTGTAATTTAGATAATCATGGGAATTTATAGGTTTATAAAAAATATCTATTTCAATAATGTTGTTATTGTGTAGAATAACTGTTACGTCTAAAAAATTTAAAGATTGGTACTCTGTGGTTTTCATATATGAAATTTTAGATTGTTCTTCTGTATATTTGATATCGGGGTGTAAAGAATTAAGATACTTTAACAGCAAGTTAACATTAATTGATTTTAATAAAGCGACAAAACCATCATTTATGTATCTTTTGAAATTTTTTTGAATATTCTCGCATTCAATTTTATTGAAGAAATTTGGTAAAACTTTAGGAAATAATTTAACTTCTTCAAGATATCCCACTACTAAACAAGCATATGGTGGAGCCATTTTTTGTTCCCACAGCTGTTCCAATTAATTGATTGAAAAACTCATTATTAAAAGTAAAATTGTTGTTCTTTAAAATAAAATTCACGCTTTATAAAATAAAAGCTTCCGAAAATCTGTTAGGTATATCATCACGTAGTCTACATATCCAAAATTTAATTGCTTCTAAACCTAGTTCATGAGAAATACTAGTATAAAGGTTAGAAATATCAATGCTGAATAAAATAGTATTTTGGTATTCCATACTATTAGGTAGTACTCTAATGAAATGACAATCATCTTTGATACATTTTATTAATTTTGGTACAAGAAGTGATAAGATTTTTTCAACAAGTTCACTAAGGCGTTGGGTCGGTGAACAAGAACCTCTAACTATTGATCTTTCGTTTAGATCATTTGGACATAAAAATTCAATATATTCTTTATTAGATTCTTTTATAAAATTTTCTATTTCATTAGATTTGTGAATTTTTGGTAACACATAAAAGTTGCTAGTTTTCCATTCATAGTTTTTTAGATATGAAGTTTCTTTTTGTGTAAAACATTCTTTAAACTTATCTACGTGATGTTTATGTTTCTTAAAACATATATCATCTGTGTTACTATCAACTTTTTTATATGTTTCAGTTAATAAGATGTCTTGGTACAGAAGTTTATCTCTATAGTAATCTGCATCCATTAGTACTAAACAGCTTCCTTTGTCAGCAGATTTGATGATTATTTTGTTATTATTCTTTAGTGCTTCTAAGGCAACACGTTCCTTATTTGTAATGTAATAATTTACTATCATTTCACCAGGAATTAAGTTATTTATCTGATGTACAATGCTTGATAAAAGAGGATTTGATGTGAACATTTTCCAATTGGATTTTTCTTTTACTAACGATTCATCGCTGTATTCTTTATCATAAAACTGTTCATGGATAATCAATTTCCTTGTAAATTCTTTTAAATCGGGTTTTACTGAAAATAGTTTACCTTTGGTTGTGGGAGTAAACTTAGGACCTTTGAGTAATAGCAATATTTGTAACTTTGATAACTTCATTTTGGATAAATTTATAATTTTAGGTGTTATTTTTTCATTTTTACTGTTGGGGTCGTTGGTAGTTTTTTGATGGTAGATTATTATCAGATAGAGATAAATCATTAATTTGAGAGTTTGTTTGTTGTATTTGTTGTACAGTTTCAAAATCCTGACTGTGTGTTGCGTGTTGAATACTATCTGTTTTTTTATCGTTTCTTTCAATTAATGATTTTGTTTTTAGTTTGTCTCTTTCATATTTTTCTCATTCCTTCAATTTTGTGGTCCCATTTTTTGTTTGTAAAATCAACATCTTTGTTCATATAAAGTATAAAAGTAGAGTCTAAATCTTCTTGTATTTTTTTAAAAATAAAAGAATAAAAATAAGAAAAGTAAAAAAAAAAAGACAAGAAATTTTTTGTTACTTCAAATGTATACATGTTGTTGCAAAGAAAAACTCGTAGAAGTCTATGAAGGCTTATCATCGAGTACCTCTTTATATGGTTAAATAAAGTCTATTTCATTTTTATGTACTTTTTTTTTTTTTTTTTGTTTTAATATAACATAAGACTTTTACAACTTCGTGTTTCATATAAAAAAGTAAGGAAAAACAGAGAGGCTTAAAGAAGATGAGGATGAAAGTACATCATCGCAATCTTTTCATAGAGCTCCTTTAACAAAGTTTCAATAAAATATCGTAATACGTAATACGTAAAATTTATACGTAATAAAATTTCAATTGAATATCGTAATAAAATGCGTAATTCCCTAATAAGATAGTTAAAAAACAACAACAACAAAAACAAAAAAAAAGTAGAGTGGTAACATTAACCAAAAACGTTTCTCAAATTTTAAAAATTTCTTTTTTTGTTATAAACTTGAATGAACTTAACGAATTTACTGTACCTTTGAATCTTTTTTGAAAAGTTTTCCATACTTTAGGACCTCGATATGAAATGCTATATTCTGAATATTTATTTATTATCTGAGGCAGTTTATATGTGTTTAACATATTTGCTCTAAGATTATAGTTTTCATTTTTACTTAATTCAAACTTGTTATTAAAGCTTATAGGAGAGATATTGTAATTGTAACGATACAGGAAAATTAAATGCAGAAAGACATTTATTTCAAACACATTCATCATTTTCATATCAGGATTTAGCGTGTTCACGCCTATCCTTATAGTAAATGATTCTGCAAGCATGTTTTTGCAAACTATACAGTTTTTTAAGCTTTGATGTTTGAGTACTTGCCCATAAAATGTTTGCATAGCTGATGAAGCTATGTATTAGCCCAAAGTAAGTTAATTTCAGACTTTGTGTATTGACGCAAGAGCGAACTCGATACGTCAAACCTATGATTTTGGTGATTTTTGACTGGATGTATATTATATGAGAAAGCCATATTGGATTGCTTTTTAATTAGTTTATCATTTAGAAATTGTTTAGGCAACTTGAGAGGAAGAATTTCATCTTGTATTTTGTTATGAAATAGTATATAATTTGTTTTCTCAGCATTAGCGTGAAATTGTTAGTTTTAAACCAGTTGTTTACTTTAACTAGTTCTATATTCATGTCAGCATATAATGTTTTGATATCATTGTTGGTAAGAAATAGATTATAGTCATCTGCAAACATGACTAAATTCAGCTTTAAGGATGCATTAGAGAAGTCATTTATATATGTAAGAAAAAGGAGTGGACCAAAAATTGATCCCTGCGGGACTCCACATAAAACATTTATTACTCCAGAATGGACATTATGTACATATTGTTTTCTGTTGGTAAACTTTTAATCCAATAATAGGTTTTATTAACTATTCCGTAATGTCTTATTTTATCTAAGAGAATGCAATAATCCATTTATCAAATGCTTTTGATAAATCAAGAAATACTCCTAAAGTAAACTTATTACTTGCAAAACCATTAGTTATTTGATTTACTATTTCAATAATTGCATGTTCAGTTGAAAGATTTTTATGAAAGCCAAACTGACTTGGGTAAAAAAAATTGTTTTTAATAAAGTAATCATAGGTTCTATTATAAACTACACGTTCGAAGAGTTTTGAAAGTATTGATATGGGTCTGTAGTTTGTAATGTCAGAATGATAGTTACATTTGTATAAAGGAGTTACTTTGCTAATTTAAGTACATCCGGAAAAATTCCAGAATTTATCGAGAGCTTTAGTATATGTATCAGAGGTTTATTAAGACTGTGTTTTTTTGCAGTAACTATATTACTAGGTATCTCATCAAATCCTTTTTTTTTTTTTTTTTTTTTATTATTATTCTCTCCATCTAGTCCAAGGCCCTAGATGGTAGATTATATTTTATATTTTTTGTTTTTGTTTTATTGTTTTATATTTTTATTTTGTTATGTTTGTTTTATATTTTTGTTTGTTTTTATGTTATTAGATTTTTATTTATGTTATCAAGTAGTAAGAAAGTAACTAACTAAGTGTTGAATTATTTTTATATATATTTATATATATTTTTTTATTTTATTTATATGTTTTTGTTTTTTTTTTACTTTAAATAGTTGTTCTATTATACAGATTTTAATTATATTTATGTTTATGTTTTAAAGTTATGTTTAATCACCTTGTAGTATATATTTATTATGTAATTATGTTACATTTTAGAATTTATTGTTCATTTTGTGTTATTTGCATTGATGAAAGAGTATATTAAGTTTTATAGGTTAGTACCACTCATCACGGTTGTTAATTTCACATTTAATTTTTTTCGCGTTGTGTTTATTTTTTAGTTCGGCTGCTTCAAAAGCACCTCTTTCATGTTCAGCTTTTTTGTACCTTATATAAACTTTAAGTTGTTCTTCAGTGCCTTTATTTTTATCGTATCCACGAAAGAAATCAATATTATATTGAATAATGTTATTGTAGGTCATGGTTTCAAACTCTGGCGGGAGTTTAACCCCACTTACATCAATAGGTTTGCACTTTTCTGCTTATATGATGGGATAATTTTCATTTATGTTTATTTGGTTTTCTGATTTGTCTCTTTTTTCTGCTTCTTTTTTCTGAATACTTATAGGTTTGCACTTCTAAAGGTATATGAGGTGGTTTCTCAGCATGATTGATTGGAGTTATGTTGATTATTTCTTCACTCGGATATTCTATGTTAATATTGGTTAAAGACTCTAATTGAGTTTCAGTTAAAGGGGTTATGTTTTGAGTGTTTAGTTTACTTTCATCTTGATTGAGAGGACTTTCCTTTATTTGGGGATCATTTTTTGTTTCGTTTTTCGGTTTCTTTTGCCCAGTATATATTGTTCTAACGTTATAGCCTCCTAGTTTGAGCGTTCTAGGTATAGGCTTTTCGAGTTTGTCCATTATTGCTACCAGTATTCCGGAGTAGTATAGCGTTTGTGTTTTGGGAGTTTTTTTGTAAACAGGTCTAGTGTGTATGTGTTTACCGTATCCGAGCTCCTCCAGCGCTTTCCCTACAGGGAAATTTGTTTTTTCAAGAGTTAGCCCAAGCACGGACACTGCGACCCGCTGACAGATTTTTCTTGATGGAGTAGAGTTGTAAAAGTAGTGAAGAACACCGTTTATTTTAAGACCTTGTTCTTGTAGAAACAGCTTTGCTTTATCTGATTTCATAAGGAGCTCTATCATAGAGCCGTTTTTTATAATTTGGAAGCCGTCCAACTCTTTATCAAGATTTGCATCTTCTAAGGCTGATAAAATATCGACTTCATTTGCTTCAGTATTTAGTAAACTTAGTATAGTATTTTTAAGAATTGAGTATTCGTTTATTGGTTTAGTATTAGATTTAGCGGCTTGCACATAACTTTTAGATGGTACGTTAACGTCCGACATTGGAGTATCTCTTTCAATGTTATCAAGGATCATAATTATACACTACGTATGTTTTAAAACTTTCGGTCACTCAGATTAAAAACACTTTTTACACACTAAAAACACCTAATATACATTCAATAACACTCATAAAGTCTCCCGACCTTCCACAAACTAAAATTGCCTTACAGGCAACCCGTTGTAGGGTAAGGTAAACTTTTTAAAACAATCTAAGAGGTACGTAGACCTCACCAAAAGTGATCTCTAGCTTGATTGTACACCTAATGACTAAGAATCAAGAACAGATACTACACTTGATCTTAGCCATTTGGCCGAGAAGCGATCTCATCAAATCCTGGTGCTTTTTTTTTTTAAAGAGGCAAAAGTCGCCTCAGTTTTCATAGATTAATTAGTATTCATGTATTATAACGTTACTCGTGGGTTTAAGATGTTGGTATTATTTTTTTGACAAGGTTCGGACCAATACTTATAAAATGTTTATTGAATTCATCCGAGACGAGTTTTTTGACAAAATATACGTTGTTTTCAATAACAATTCGTTTAGGTAGTGAAGGTGAATTTAGTTTTTCTCTTCCCATTTAGAAGAGGTTATTTACATTAAGGATGGACCATGCTTTTTTGCTATCAAGTTTACATTTGTTAATTTAATTATTGTAATTTACTTTTTTTTTTGCATTTTTAATGAGATCTTGATAAGAATATTTATAACTTTTGTAATTTTTTTCATTATCATTGTTGTTTTTTTTTCAGAAATATGTTGTTAAGTTTTTGCTTTTTTTTTTCGAGCACTTTAGTAGTGATTTATCCATCCACGGATTAGCCAGAGCTTTCGACTTAATTTTTATAATCTCTTGCGGACAGGTTTCGTTAAAATACTCCAAAAATGTACTTAAAAAAGCATTGTAAGCTTCATTAGTATCTTGACATTTATATACGTTGTTTCTCGTTTCTTGTTTTAGCCTACTTGTTAACTTATCAGTGTTACTCATTTTTAAATTTCGTTTTTTCAAATGTATGGTTTTAGATTGACAGTCAGACATAGATTTCAGGTTTTTATTTTTATGAATATCGGGAAATGATCGCTTATTATCTGCCATAAATATACCGGTTTCGAATGTCGTTTCAAAATAATTGTTAATTAAAATATTGTCTATTGCTGTTGCAATAAGCTGTTGTTACACGCGTTGTTTTATTTATAGTTGACAAGACATTAAACTTAAAAAGCATATCAAAAAAAGATTTTGTTTTTGGAAATTTAGTGTCAGATAAAGCATCAAGATTTATGTCACCAGTAATATATAATGTTTTATTTTCTTTATTTATTTTCATAATCGTATTTTTGATTAAAGTTTCTAAGTTTTTCATTTTTTTACTCGGTGGACGATAAACACATCCAATTAAAATATTTCGGTATTTTTTATAAATAATTTCAATGAAGAGACATTTATAATTATTATTTGAAAAGCATAATATGTTTTTTATTTTTAAAACATACTTTTCTTAGACATAAATTCCTAATCCCCTCCTTTTTTCCCACTTTCTCGTGGTTGACTAATTAATTTGTAAAATGTTAAAATATAATTAGAATTTGATTCAAGAGAACTTTCTGTATCATGCCATGTCTCTGAAAGAGATATGATGTCGAACGTGTAGCTTAAAATATTTAAAAATTGTCAAAATTTTGCTGCATGCTTCTAATATTTATATGCAATACAGAAAATGAGCAATTATCTTTTAATACTTTAAAATCAAAAGAATTAATATAAGGTGTTTTAATTAAGTTCATTTGAGTTTCTTGAAAAATATTTCTTTTTTCTAGAGATTATTTATAAAGTTGTCACCAAAAAGATCTAAATTTAAATTGCTATATATATATATATATATATATATATATATATATATATATATATATATATATATATATATATATATATATATATATATATATATATATATATATATATATATATATATATATATATATATATATATATATATATATATATATTTATAACTATACTCAAAATGCTTACTCGTTTACGGTTGTTACGAATTAACATCTGTGTTGCGGGTGCTTTCTCGAAATTCATGAACAATAAGTTTGTTGTGAACAACTTTTGCGTAATCGCTTTATCAAAAAGTTCTTTTCGAATTTTTCGCGTTGTAAAACTAAAATCTTCGTTAAGAAAAATGTTGATTCTTTTTAATTTTATTGCTCTTTCCATGATTGTTTTTTTGTCCTCGTAATCACGTAGTTTTAAGACAATTGTTCGCTCTCGTTTTTTCTTAGCTATTCCCACTCGATAAGCCCGTTCAATAGCAATATCTTTTTCAATACCAAGGTTATCTTTAAATAGTTGTTTTATTTTTATTTTTTTTTGTAATTTGATTATCCTAATTTTCTATTTGATTATTTTTAGTTTATCTTAATTTTTTATTTATTTAAAAGAAAAATTTAAATTCTAGCATAGTGTAATCCATAAATAAAAGTTGTGGTTTAATGAATCACTTAAAATAAGTATAATTAAAAATGGTGTTTCGGATCATTTTCCTATTTTATTCTCCATTAACATTGAGAAAAAATAAAAAATAAAAAAACAACAAAAATTCTTTTATAAACCCCCTTTCAATGATAAAAATATGGCATCATCATCAAAAATATGGATCAGCTCTCTGTAATAAATTGGAAGCATATAAATAGTTCATTCGAAGCAAATATAATGTATTAAAGATTCTTTCATGAAATAATTTTATTCATTATTTCATAAAAACCTTTTATGAAATAATGAATAAAAACCGAATAAAAGTTTTAAGTCACCTTGGGTCAATATCGATCTTAAAAAATCCTAAAAAAAAAAAGAAGCAAAAACTATATGTAAAATGCTTAAAAAAATCAACACCTAAAAAAAAATTAATTTATAAAAATTATACTGAACTATTTGAAAGTGAAAGAAAAAAGACAAAAAAAAAACAAACTTTGCAATTTACTAGAGAAGCATAAATCTTGTTCAAAGCGTATATAGCAAATTATAAGTCAAATTTCTGGTAAAAACAAATTAGTAACGTATTCTATACCTAACACTATCAAAGTAGATGGCGTATTTTTACATGAATCTAAAAAAATAGCAAACAAGCTTAATAATTTATTGTATCTGTTGGTCCAAATTTAACTAAAAATATTCCTAATATGATAAATCCAATAAATGATTACACTTTCCCATTAATTTCTAAATTAGATAAAATTGAAGTAACTTTTTCAGAATTTGAAAAAGAATTTAAAATTCTAACTAGCATTTTAAACGAACAAAGCAGTTGTTCCTGACGGTCCTGATGAAATAAATTGTAACATAGTTATAGATTCATACGACGATATAAAGTATATTCATTTCAAAATTTTTAGAAGTTCAATTAATCAAGAAATTAAAAAGGTGATGAACCATCAAATGTCAATAATTATCGTCCAACATCTGTCCTCTCTGTTTTTTCAAAAATTTTAGAGCGAATTTTGTTTAACCAAATATACAATCATCTGACTGGTATTAATATGCATTACAGGAACCAATACGGCTTCAAGAGAAACAACTCTGCGGAACATGCAAAAGTTCATCTTATTGGAAGCATAACTGAATCATTTGAAAAATTAGAATTTACTTTAGGCTTTTTTATAGACTTATCTGAGGCGTTTGACACAATTGAAAATGAAATACTTCTTACAAAACTTGAATATTAAAGTATTACTGGAAAAGTTTTAATGTTACTTAAAAGTTACCTAAAAAATCGCAAACAAATCCACGTCGAAAGATTTTCTTTACCTTACATTCTAAATATAATCTGTGGAGTTCCATAAGGATCTATACTAGGACCTCTATTATTTCTAATTTATGTAAATGATCTCTATAAAGCCTCAAAATTAATAACAATCCTGTTTGCTGATGATAATAACCTCTTCTTATCATGTAATAATATCAATAAACTTTTTAATGATATGAATATTGAGCTAACAAAAATCTCTAATTGTTTCAAATCAAACAAACTTTCGCTCAATATTGAAAAGACAAAATGGACTCTCTTCTATCCAGCATTTAAAAAGCGTTTACTCCCAAGTGATATGCCTATACTTTATATTGATAATATTCAAATAAAAAGAGAAACGTCTACAAACTATTTAGGTATTAATATAGATGAAAATCTATCTTGGAAAAATCTCATCAGAAACTTATGAAGTAAAGTTGCAAAAAGTATTGGAGTCTTGTGTTAAGTAAGAAGAGTTTCGAATAGATATTTACTAATTCAATTTTATTATTATTTTATACACTTTCATATTAATTATGCTAATATTGCGTGGGTAGTAAAAGTAATTTAAAACCACTTTATTGTCGACAGAAGCGCATTGCACGACTTATAAATTTCTAAGATCGTCTTACTCACTCAAAGTCTCTCTTAATTAGTTTGAATATTCTTAATATATATCAAGTAAATGTTTTTAATGTTCTTTGTTCTATGTTCAAGTGTAAAACCAACTCTTCTCCAACCTCCTTTCTTGATTTATGTTCTTTAAACGAAAAAAATAAATATTCTTTAAAAAGTTTTGATTCTATTAAACAACCTATTATCCAAACTAACTTGAAAATATACTTACATACTTTTAAATTATACTTAGCTCTTAAATACCTAAATATTGATCTATTTTATTCAATACTAATTTAAATATACTATTTGAATACATTTATTTGAATATGATTAAAGGTTGCATTAAATACGATATTTGGTTTATATATATTTTAATTACGCTATTATACTGAACGACTTTGATCTTTATTTATACTTGTATTATTAACCATGTATATTTATTTTTTATATTGTATATGCACTTTTCATCATGTGGTATAGTATTTAAGTATTAATATTTATTGACATTTTATAAATGAGAAATAAACGAACAGCAACCTTCTAGACAAGACAAGTGTTCAGGAGATCCGTTCGGAAAAACTCGTAACAATCAAAAGTTAACTTAAATTAGGGCTATAATCCCCCATTCTATTACAAAATCAAGACCCTTCTCCCAGTAAAACTACAAAACATTAAAAAGTTTCTTATTTTTTTGTTATTTCGACATTTTTATTTAATTAAAAAAGGTACTTTGGCACTAAAAGATGGGTAAATAATCCATAAGAAAAATGGATTGCTTTTTTGTTAAAAAATAGGAATCAAGATTAAAAAAATTGAATGATAAAGGTAGACAAACCGTTTCATACACGCTTTTTTAATCACTTTAATCACGCGTACGTAGTCTATGGATGCCCCTAACTCTATATTAGAGAAT